TGGCCAGTGTAGTTCACATGAGTATTATAGCCCTAAAGCCGGACCACCATAACAAGCTGACGGCTCAAGTAGGGTTTACAGCCTAAAGTACATCCGGAGTCTATTCTTGCCATGCACTTATATACAAATACATAGAAGTAAACTATATACCTATATATATATATATGTATACAACGAGCCAGGTATAGCTGTTGTGAAGACATGGGATATTCATGTTTAACTGAAAAGGTACTCTGTGTTTTCAGACTTTGTTTTCTATCCGGTGGGCGTATATTTTACATGACACAAAAGCAATAAAGTGATTCGTTTGGTCGCCAGCAAGAAAGTCGATATATTCGCGGACGAAGTGAAAACGGAGAAACCAACACACCGCTTGTGTGGAAACGGGTTGTATTGCTTTCGTCTGTGGGGTTTTGTGATTTTCGTTCAGCGACTTGGACGAAGAGAATGGTCAGCCAACATGAATGACGTACTATCTAATACCGGATTGTCGACCTATTTTTCCAGACGATGCACGTGCAATTCAAGGTTGGGATGTGGATTAAAGACTGCCGACGGATCAAAATACTGGTAACTCGCTGTAGAGGACAGGTGATTGTTGATCCGCCCAATGGTCTCGGGAATTTGTGTGCAGACGTTTCTTTAGTGGGCATGAGGATGATGTCATTGATGATGGTGACACTGCCTGATGTCTCGAGGATTGATGATGGAATGCCTGTAAACAAATTGTCGCATCCCATGAAGCTGTTTGTTTCTTGAGCCCTACTGTTTGTACGGTTTTTCTCAATTGTGAGTATCCCCCAGCAGCCTTTAGGGTCGGACTTTTCTCCATAACACTGAAAAGTCTACTTTCGGGACCAAAATGGCCAAGCTTATTCGCCTTGACTTACCGAGAAATGTGATGCGTGTGGATAAAATAGACTCTCCTCTCAACAAGCCCATATGGCATTCTTGTGTTCGGATAAGTTAGGCAAACAAATTGGACAGCAGTTGTCGCAGTTGTGTCTGATACAGCGAACAACTATCTTACCATAAAAGTGTCAGGTCATTCCGTTTTACCATCGCGGAGAAGAGATGAGCACGATATTGAATGAGTTTTGCCAGCAAATTGAGCTTGACCTTTCTAACAGGAAACGTCACTTTGTTGTTCTGGTTGCTTTCTAATAATGCAACAGTTATCAAAAAAGAGACTATCAGGAGGAAAAGTGGCACCGGGTCTATTTTGGAGCGTGTCTCTGTTCAGAAAGTTTTCACGTAGAAAACTGCGGTGAACTACCTCCGATGGAGACCAACTTGACTATCTGTCTTTTAAAAATCTTCCTCAAACCTTTTCGAACCCAAAGGAACTACCGCGTGATTGAGATACTCACAGCAATCCGGCCAAAAATTTGGGAGACGAATTCTCACCAACACTTTTATTAACACGAATAGCTGGCTTAGCACGACAGATAAAATTAAAAACAGGTACCTACTTACTTTTCGAACGATAAAAACTCCAGTATCAACTCGTGTATCAAAAACTTGGTGTCGGATAGGGTAGTTAGATTTCCCCCTTCGCCAGTTTTAAGTTCCTGGTCCAGAGTTTCAAAAAGTTTGTATAATAACTCTGATTTCAAACTTTTCAAGATGCCACGCTTTTCCAAACTTATTCTCAGCGCATCCTTCAATTCTTTAACGGATGACATGTTTTCCATCAACTCAGAGACTACAAAAGTGTACAAGAAGTGTTGAGGTCTTGAAACTTCATGGAGGCTGAAACAGAAAGCAGGAGATTGTCAGTTTACCTAACGTAAAGCCCATATAGATCTCCAAAATGGTTTTATGGACCAAGCTGAATTGATCCCTCTGAGTCACAGGAAAATTAGTTATCGTCTTCTTAGTTTGGTTTCGAAAAGCAATGAATACCACGTGAGCTACGTAACCCTCCAATTGCATGGGTCTCTTTAACCATAATTGAGCCAAAGCTGCCATTACTGAGAGCTTTGTTGGCTTTCGGGTGCAACGTAGCCGTAAAAATGAACCTTTCATACAAAGTGCTTTTAAATCAAATTGACAGCTGTGACGTTCAGCAGTAGTAGTTTTACCCTTTTAGCATGAATGCTGAGTTGTAGTGCGATCAGAAATCCATGAAAAGTGAGAGAAATGGTTTGACATGCAACATTTCAGGTAATTAACAGGTAAGCAAAAATATCCAATATCTTAGGATGTATCTCTACAACTACTACCCGGATGATTACCTGATTTGGGAGGGTTCCTAATCTAGGTCACTACTTCCCTGGGTCATAATCTCCATGATTATCCGGCTGTCTTGATCCACAACTCAGTGCTTCGGTTGAACGCCCCGTGGTTTAAGACTATCAGAAAGCACCGAAATGAAGAATGGGAGAATCTTCGTAGCCAGTCTTCATACTGGTCAGAGTCTTAAATTCTCATCATTTGCGTATGGGAGAGAAACATGTGTATCACACTCCATGACAGGCCGGAAAAGCGTGACCAGTAGTTTCGATCCGATTCGTGACCGGGTATCGCAAGGTTTATGAAACCACTCTATCAATCCGTATTTCCGCCTTAGGACAGCTGCACTTAGCGATGTTTACGTTAAAAACCTCACAGTGAGATTAGTCACCCATTGTCTTAGTGTCCTGTCAATAGGCAAAGGTTGACATTTGGTTGGGCTGATCAAAAGCTTGACCTGCGCTACCTTGCAGTTTGCCACACTTAAGCTATTCAGGAGAACTCTGTTGTTCTCGTCTTTCCTGATGCATCGATACACTTGCAAGACCTTTGCAAGCACCAAGTTGCCTTGCATTAACCTACGATGTAGGTTGTTTACTTGGATATTGAACAGTATAGACCCGAGTGTTGATTCTTAAGTCACTCTACTGCCTGGTGGTAGCCGTTTAAAAAGCTGTCTGTTTATTTTAATCTTGTAGTCGCGATCTTGCAGAAAATCGGCTGTCTGGTATGCTAAGGGCGATTAAAAATAACTCCCATGGTGAAAGACAAGGAGGATGCTATGGAACGCTCTAGAAAATCTATGAGTACAGATAGTACTTCGATTAACTAGACATGTACAGCTTTTGCATCATGGCAACAAACTCGTAACACACTCATTTGGTTGCATGCAACGTGGTACGTGCTTGTTAGTCATTGAGGTTAATGTGCTGCCTTGTTCGAATTTTTACACGCGTACCTTCGTCAACTTTCCTATCATCTACGCCAGACTAGCCGATCGATAACTGGTCGTGTTGTGTTCGCCACCACCTCTACAGAACAGCTCAATGACGGCCTTATGCCATGTCAACGGTACCATGTCTACTTCCGCTGACTGATCAGGATGGTTGAAAGAACTGAGACCAGACCACCAGGTGGGAGGGTGTCAACGGACGAGACCAATGAAGTTCAGGAGCTTTTTGTTTGTCCAAATGAAGAAGAGTTGGGAATATCTCAATTGGAGTAGAACTGTACTCTTCCTCTTCCGTTATATCCAACCTGTCCACCAGTTGTACGGCTTCTGGATTATGACAAGCTGTAAAGTGCGTGTGATGACAACGACGCTGTTTCTAAACCGTCTTCAGTGAGCTGATTTGCTTTGGGACTTAATGGTAGCAAACTGTCCGTTTTCCTGGATTGTCGTTTCATGCAGGAGAGGGACCGGTGGGATTAAACCTCTGCATTTCTGATTAGGTAGGATTCGTACGCCATCCGTTCAGGTTTCTTAAATGTAGTGTTTTTTTAATATCTCTACATCTCGTGTGTTTGGCCAGTGATGCGTTTGCATGGCAGAGGTTTCACAAATTGTGCCCGGCAAGTGGATGCGCGTCTTCTATTGTCGCGTGTGCTTCTTTCCCTGAAAAAATGTGAGCATGGCGTCCGGAGATTCGTCCCAGGCAACGGCGACGTCTCCTTTTCCTGTGCAATTCCTGAAATATCCGTGCGGAAGAAGCCCGCACTGCAGAAGCGTTGGTTTTTCTTATGTTTCGTAAAAAGGTCTCTATCCTTCTGTAACTCTTAAGTAGCATCAAATGGGTCATCAGTATCAAGTGGCCACAGGATGCAAATAACTTCTGATACTCCAGTTATTGTGGTTAACCTCCACTAGAGTGAATAAAAGATCCAAAAACGATACCCTCTGACACGGGAGGTATCGAGTCTTTTTGCCTGCATGTTAAGCAACTTGGAACTCTCTCGCCATTAGAACGAAGAGGGTCTCAACAATATCAAGGCAATGATCGTAGGGTAGCCTATTTCCGTTTTTGTTTGTAGCAGCCCATGATGACGTAGCCGGGTTTCTGGTCCGACTTTCTAAACTGCCAAATCTAGCTGATTTTACAATCATGTAGACTGCTGTGGACGAAATTCACTAGTAAACTGGCTGATTCTGGCTTTGCAGCACAAAAACTACCCATCTCTGATATGTTGTCATGGTCGCTCAGAGTCGATGCCGAGCCGTGGTGCTGGTATACAAGCAAAAAATGGAGCGTCATTTTATGTTTGAAGTGTTCACTTTAAAAACAGTTCTACGGTGGTTCTGATGGCGCAAGTAACCATATAAAACCATGCTAGGTGGTCACTAGACAGTTGCGAAACCATTATATAACCAGAAGATTTCTTTTGTGGACTGCTTTTGCTGCAAATAATGTATATTAAGCTAAAACCACTGTACAACAAATACGCGGTTCTTCTAGCTTCGTTCTGTTATGTTTCAAAGGCCGCAGCTTGTTGAAAACAGTAGCTCATGGACGTGCGCGTTGAGTCTATGAATATTGCCAGCGACGGAACGGGACAGTGACAGATGCGTGCCTAGCACGGGCAGAGAAAAGGTGTCCAGGACACTGAATGTGCTGGTGTTCCCACTCCAGGTGATGACTCCGGAGGATGGTTGTTAGTCTAGATTGTGGCAGCTCAAAAGAGGGTTGATTATAGTTAACAAGTTTCTGAAATGTGAATAAGAGGTCTCATTGCAGCCCCTATAGGATGTTGAATATAGGTATGAAGCTGTCGAGTGTTTTCAGTAAGTATGATTGTGCAAACCTCAGGTGAGTTTAACGGTCATCCCTTCAGCTTGCCACTGATCTAATTAAACCCGAGCCATGAGCTCTATGCCCAAACGAATAGCTTCACATAAGGTCCATTTGCACAATGGTAATGAGGTGATAGGTCTTGCATTTAAGGACCAGCGACGTCAAAGCAGACTCAGGTCTCGTAAACCGTACCAGCCAGAAGTACTAAATGGTGTTGTGTACGTTATCCACACGCCTTTATATATCACCGTTTGTATGAAGTTTCTGTCATAATCGGGAACTACTTCCTGCGGCGCTAGAAAATTGTTTGCAGTTCCAGTTCAAAGTTTTGGGTTACCACTGATAGCTGTTTTAATGGCAGAGAATTCAGGGACCATGTCCCTGCTGCAACCAAGTGGAGATATGTACATGAGCGGTTTTATTATGAGTTTCTCCTTCGTCAAAAAAGTTGCCGTGGCCAAAATAGATCAACAAAATAGCGGACAGATTAACCTTACACATATTTCATGTCTTTCTGTCAGCATTCTGGTGTTTATTTGAATTCGGCACCATTTTCTAATGTTGTACCCCATGGCACAATTGTGTGTACTTCTTCATCTTAGCCAGGTAGACATCCAGTCGTTTTCCTTCCCTCAACCTCGTTCAAAGTAATCGACCTGTGTCAATGGATTCCCGCCTTGTTTAGAGTGACATAGATTTTTGAATTCTCCTCATGGCGGCCAAACGATGGGTCGTTTCCCCCACCGCATCGCTTTCCAACCAAGCATGGTTTGTTTAAAGCTCAATGCAGTGCCTGGCCAGACGGTTTAGAAATAGCTTAAGATAAATACCTCTCTTAAACATATTTCGCTCTCAGCATACCTATCCTAGTTTGTAACAATCGAGTACTTTTCACTTTACCCAATTGGACTGTCACCACTGCGCACCGCATACATGAAGGATTTGTAGGTTGCATGCACACATTGTATTGTTTTAGCAGCTACCATTCTGGAAGATTCAGCACAGATGGAGCGATGGAACCTTAGTAGGATTACGTCACGTGCATGTCAACCATAGATGACCGGAAATAAAAATGCATTTAGCCTAGCAATTTGCCCTTGAAAAAAGATGCGCGGTGCACCTGGTTCATTAGTGCAGTCATCTACAAATATCAGATGAGAACGGGTGGAATGTAATATTGGGAAGCCGAAGAATCCCCAGTATACACACCGTCGATTGCACCACCGATAGCCACGGTCAGCCAAAGGTGTCAACACACAAAATTTCAGCCCAACATTTTCTTGGTTTTTTTCAAAACTTTTTTGAAACCCCTTGCAGCCGGACGAGGTCAAGGGTTGCACTAACAAGCTTTTGTAGACTTATTTACCGGATAAGTGACTTCATTCTAGAGTGCTTGATCTGAACACCCAACCTCATGGCATGCAAAATATAACCGAGCGCCATGCCCAATTACCAACAGCGTTGTGCTTAGAAAAACATGCTAAATTGTCGAAGGATAGCAAGATCAGTCAAAAATCTAGAGAATTAATTATATTACAATATAATCATAGTTTTTTTATCCACCGCAACGCGGTCTTCTCACGGGACAGCTTCCGGTTTCCAGGTCCTCATTAGCGAAGCAGAGACTGCGGAAGATGATCATTCTCACTTAAATGGGAAAGCGGTGCAACAAGACACTTACTATCATGCGTTAGCAGCAACTGTTGATCTCGCACCACACATCCCACA